ATCCAGAGGTGGTGCAGATAGAAGAAAGCTGAGCTATAGCTGTGTGTGTGTGTTACCCGAGTGTGTAGACGGCCTTCGGGCACTTTACAGGGGCTGTCCATTACGCGTACCTCCTCTGTATAAAACAGCACAAGGAATGGAAGAAGCCTAGGAGCAGGAATTAGTCAGAGATACAGCTGTGGACATCACTATGACATTTACAACCACAACACACAAATGCAACATTTATGGGTCAAATTATGACACTACAACTCGTGTGAAAAAGCAAGTCATGATATATTGGTCAGGGTTGTTGTACCTGCATGCTAACCTGTAGGTGTATAGATTTTGTGTTCCAGTTTCTAATATTTTGTTCTTGTATAGGGCTGCAAGGTGGCACCTCTGGTTTAATCTGGGCTCTTTACTTTTTGCATCCCTTCCCTGGGTATGTTGGAGATTTTTCAAGAAATTTCAGTTTTCTTCCACTGTCCAAAAACACACAGCTTCCGTTATTCTCAAATGCCTGACATAGTTCACCCTTTAGTTACTTATTAAGAGTTGGTTCCCTTCAGAATGGTTGACTTCTTATTCTTTTTTTGTCTCAGTTCATTAGATAGATAACAAGAATAATATCATGAAGTTATTAAAGGGGCAGAGTTGCTGTGGTAATCTGTTGGGAGACTCCCATCCCATCAACCCCCTAATGCTATATGTCTTCGTCTTCCTCCGCTTATCCGGGTCCGGGTCGCGGGGGCAGCATCCCAACTAGGGAGCTCCAGGCCGTCCTCTCCCCGGCCTTGTCCACCAGCTCCACCGGCAGGACCCCAAGGCGTTCCCGGACCAGATTGGAGATGTAACCTCTCCAACGTGTCCTGGGTCGACCCGGGGGCCTTCTGCCGGCAGGACATGCCCGAAACACCTCCCCGGGGAGGCGTCCAGGAGGCATCCTGACCAGATGCCCAAACCACCTCAACTGGCTCCTTTCGATCCGGAGGAGCAGCGGTTCTACTCCGAGTCCCTCCCGAATGTCCGAGCTCCTCACCCTATCTCTAAGGCTGAGCCCGGCCACCCTACGGAGGAAACTCATTTCGGCCGCTTGTATCCGCGATCTCGTTCTTTCGGTCATTACCCAAAGCTCATGACCATAGGTGAGGATTGGGACGTAGATCGACCGGTAAATCGAGAGCCTGGCTTTCTGGCTCAGCTCCCTCTTCCCCACGACAGATCGGCTCAGCGTCCGCATCACTGCAGACGCCGAACCAATCCGCCTGTCGATCTCCCGATCCCTCCTACCCTCACTCGTGAACAAGACCCCGAGATACTTAAACTCCTCCACTTGAGGTAGGACCTCTCCCCCGACCCGGAGGTGGCAAGCCACCCTTTTCCGGTCGAGAACCATGGTCTCAGATTTGGAGGTGCTGATCCTCATCCCAGCCGCTTCACATTCGGCCGCGAACCTACCCAGCAAGAGCTGAAGGTCAGAGCTGGATGAAGCTAGGAGGACCACATCATCCGCAAAAAGCAGAGACGAGATTCTCCTGCCACCAAACTCGACACACTCCACACCACGGCTGCGTCTAGAAATTCTGTCCATAAAAGTGATGAACAGAACCGGTGACAAAGGGCAGCCCTGGCAGAGTCCAACCCTCACTGGGAACAGGTCCGACTTACTACCGGCTATGTGGACCAAACTCACGCTCCTCTGGTAAAGGGACTGAATGGCCCTTAACAGAAAGCCACCCACCCCATACTCCTGGAGCGTCCCCCACAGGGTGCCCCTGGGGACACGGTCATAAGCCTTCTCCAAATCCACAAAGCACATGTGGATTGGTTGGGCAAACTCCCATGCCCCCTCCATCACCCTTGCAAGGGTATAGAGCTGGTCCACAGTTCCACGGCCAGGACGAAAACCACATTGCTCCTCCTCAATCTGAGATTCAACTATCGATCGGGCCCTCCTCTCCAGTACCTTGGAGTAGACCTTTCCAGGGAGGCTGAGGAGTGTGATCCCCCTATAGTTGGAACACACCCTCAGGTCACCCTTCTTAAAGATGGGGACCACCACCCCGGTCTGCCACTCCCTAGGAACTGCCCACGATGACCACGCAATGTTGTAGAGACGTGTCAACCATGACAGCCCTACAACATCCATAGCCTTGAGATACCCAGGACGAACCTCATCCGCCCCCGGGGCTCCGCCGCTGTGTAGTTGTTTGACTACCTCAGCAACTTCTGCCCCCGAGATCGGACAGTCCATCCCCAGGCCTCCCAGCTCTGGTTCCTCCTCGGAATGCGCATTGGTGGGATTGAGGAGCTCCTCAAAGTATTCCTTCCACCGTCCGACTATAGCCTCAGTTGACGTCAGCAGCTCCCCATCCCCACTGTAAACAGTGTGAGCGAGTTGCTGCCTTCCTCTCCTGAGGCGCCGGACAGTTTGCCAGAACCTCTTTGGAGCCGATCGATAGTCTTTCTCCATGGCCTCACCAAACTCCTCCCACGCCCGAGATTTTGCCTCGGCAACTGCCACTGCTATATGTGATGTATTTTATTCCACCAAACTGGTTGCACACATCATGACATCAATGCAGTTTTGACAAATTTTGTTCACAGTTACGGTGAGGGGATTAACTAAGCTGTCAGACATCGAACTGGCTCCTTCTGGAGTGACATGTAACTAGTACTTAACTAGTTGTTTAGCTAGGTCTTATTAGTGGGCTGGAGCGAAACATATTCCCATCACTAGATTTCATCCTAGGGATGTAAGAAAGCACTGACCCTGCGATGGACTGGCAACATGTACAGGGTGTATCCTGCCTGTTAGCCTGCTGGAGATAGCCAACAGCTCGCTGCAATCCCGCAAAGACAAGCGGCTAGAGAAAAAGGAAGAAAATATTGATACACTGAAATATAGAGATATTTCGTGTTATGATACTGAATTCATATCTGAAAGCAGTGTATTTCTTCTGTGTGGTGCAATTCAAACTCCAACTGCTAGGTGGCAGCAGTTTTTACAGTCTTTGTTTTGACGGAGCGATATCTTGCAACAGCAGGGAGCCTAAGCCATGCCCACTTACTTCTGGACCGTGGGTCCTTGGAAGAACGAAAAAAAAAAGAATGCAAGTCAACGGGGCTAAAAACAGCATTTTCTAATCCCGTTTGTTATGTGCCATGATTTTCACATATGATGTCTGGGAATTTTAAAGACACATTCCTATGCCAAGAAAGCGCTTATTTTCAAACGGGGGGGAAGTTATTTCAGGTTTTGTGTGAAAATAAGTCCAGGACTACAATCATTGCCAAAATGACGTCATCGAACCAGACACGGAGCTGATGACATTCTGTGGTGACGTGCCGACGTCTGATTTGTAGTCATAGGAATTCCACATTTTTACGAGATGCTAAATCTCAAAGTACGTGACTGGCATGGTCGAAACACACATCACACACTGTTTCAGCATAAAATCACCAGTAAATTTCAAAATAAAAGTACTGCAGCGATGCAATTTCATATATATCAAGCTCACGTGTGACCCAACGGCTTATTTACTCACAGCATCGTTTCAGAAGTGCAGCGGTGTGTGTTTCATGGCTGTAACCCTGGCAGTGGACAGGAGCAACATCACATTTGACATAAAACAACAATATCAAACTGATTTCCTTCTTTTTGGTTTAATGGCGGATTGCATAAACAAACCGTGACCTGAAGTCTTGAGGTATCGTGTGACCTTGCGAGTCGAGCGAGGAGCATGGCAGAAAAGCCGCTTCGCTGCTGAGACTCTCCCGGCGTACACTTGAGTGCAGTGGTTGTCGCGAGTAAACCGTTCCGTGCCGCTTTTGCTTCCAGTGTGCACTAGGCGTTAGTCTCTCTATGCGGGTTGTGCCCTGGATTTGACCTGAGTTTTGCAAAAATTGCAAATATCTTCTTGCTTTGAGTATTGCAGTATATTGCATTGTCTCTCCTGCATTGTGTTATTATGTTGTATCACCACATTCTCGCCAATTACAACCCTACATAATTCCAAAATAGATGGTTTTAAGAGCCAAAAACTCAATAGAGAATGAGCAATAGAAGTGGATGGGACTAAATGTGTTGCAGGTGTGCTGACTGATACAAGAACAGGATCTGAATCAAAACATGGCGAGGTAAGGCCAACATAAAGACACATAATTACATTAGACACAGAAACCAAAGCTGTGTTTAGAGGCAGGTTACCGGTGTTTTTGTAGGTAGTTTGCATGTTTTCAAACCATCTAGAGGTTTCTACTTTGTTTCAAACGTGTGTGAATAAATGTTGATTGTACTCCAACTGTTAAGCGTCAGCATGAATTATATTTCTTTTAAGTCTCTGTGGATTCACTCTGTAACGAATGAACAGTCTGTCCGGGTTCGCCTCAGACAAGAGGAGCTGGAAAATGGATGGTTGGATGTTTTTAAGGAACTAAACACAACAGTTTTAATAAAAAAGATCATATTTAGAAAAAGATTTTAAAAATAGTTTTCTGTCAGATGCATTTAGTTGTGTCTGGTAGGGATTCACACATTTTTGTTAAATTGCCAAAGCTCTGTGTTTGGTGACAAAAGCACTTAGAGCAGACAATAAGGAAAATGCAAAGGGAATGTTTTCCTCTCCGGACAGGAATGTGCCCCTTTTACCCCCGTCACAATACTCAATTCAGTCTGGGCCTCGAACAAAAAAAATGCCACTCTGAAATACCAGGTGACGCTTTGTGTGAGTCCTCATTATATCACTGTCACATGCCCATCTTTTGGCTAATTCAGTCGGGTCAGATGCAGACCAGGGGTTGCAGGCGAGGCCCTTCTGTTTATTTCAAAAGCAATAAATCATATTGACTGAGAGTCATCTGCAGAGTGAGTGGGTTCATGATGATTATGTTTAATTATAGTCGTCACTTCTGGAGATAATGACTCGCTTTCAGTCAAAAAGCCAACTCTTCACCAAACCAATGAAAATACACAGAATTCATCTAGAAATGGCTTTGTGTGTGTTTTCCTCCTAAAGGTTCTGCATACTATGACAACGTGCGACCGTTGGCTTATCCCGACTCCGATGCCGTGCTCATCTGCTTTGACATCAGCCGTCCGGAGACGCTGGACAGTGTGGTGAAAAAGGTCAGTGTCGCATCAACAGAAATGGGAACCTTTCATCTTTTCATATCACAGCTGAGACCGTTCTTTGTTTCCCGCGGTACACTGTGTTTCTCGTTAGGAGCGGCGTTTGATTTAAACTTAATACACGAGTCAGATTCAAAATGGCAGTATGTGTGGTGTCTGAATGTATCCCTTTACTATGCCGGCATTGAAATCAGTTGTTTATGAAACAACAACACCCCAAGGTTTTAAAAACATAACAGTACAGGTATTAGATGGTTTAAAAAACAAAGTGGTTGAGTTTATTACTTTTAACTGCATGATAATTGCTTGTTTAACAGTCACAGTGGTCATGTCCTGATCATAATCATAAAAAAGTACATTTATTTGGCATATTTGATTCATTTGTTGCAAAAGAGCTACAGATGAAACTCTAGAAAGTAGAATATCTTCTAAAAGTTCTTTTATGTCAGCGTCAATCTTAGACTGAGAGACCATCTAAAGGCTCTGGAACCCTTTTAAGGTGTTTTGGAGGATTTATCAGCTGATTGGAGGGTGACACTTCTGAGTCTAGACTATTAAATCTCTTCACAATATTCTAACTGAGATTTAGCTTCAAATTTCTGGCTTTGCGTGTAACATACTTTAGTTTCACCTTTTGAGTAGAATTACTTAAATAATGAACTTTGGCACCATATTCTAATTTTCTGAGTTTCACCATAGTGGTAATAATAAAAATAAAAGTAATGTTAACATTAAGGTTAAAATGTTAAACCTTTTATTCTAATGTGCCCTTTTAACTTTCACAAATTTAATTTGTTTTTCCCCATTTAAATCACTCCATGTGTTTATTATTACCTTTAGTTTACCTACTTGTGTTATTAGAGTAAACCCTTTAAATGTTTTAATAGAATGATGTCATAACAGCACATTGTACAAATGTATTTACTTTATTAATATTGTCTGACACCATTTCCAACTGTCAGTGTGCATTTTAATATTTTCCTATAATAGTTGTCATTAAAACAATTATAAATATAGAGTTTTATTGATCCAAAGTGTGAAATGTAAACTTTTCATATTTGACTGTTCCATTTTTTACTTAATCATTTGTTTATGTTTGATTGTATTAAATAAGCAGCAGATTAGCAGTTTCACTGTGTAAGTATTATGATGCGTGTCTATACTTTGGCACTGAAAGGAATATTTTTTCAAGTATGGACTTTGACAGCATTTTATCAATACCATCCCACCTCCATCTTTCTCCGCTCTGATAATTTAGGGAAAGTTAAAACGGGAAAACTGACGTAGGACCATGTTTATATCTACTGATGCTGAAAATAAAAAGGTAAAGAAAAAGTAGAGCTGGGAATTTCTAATTGGATCAAAAACAAACACACAGCTGAATTAAGATTACCACCCCTAGAGATTATGACTGAACGTGGTGGGTTGAAATGTTTGACCTCCTTTTAGTCCACAAACATTCCTGCTATCATTCATCAATGACATCATCAATAATAGACTCAACACGTACATTTCATGGTGGCCAAATTCTCACACCTACAGGGGGTCAGTTTGAGAGGTACATTGGTGACCCCAGTACTGGTGCTTAAACGCATGCACAGAATACCAAAGTGACACTTTGAATGAAGTTTAAGGACAAAGCAAAAGGAATTTTTCCTCTCAGAAGCAGATTTTAACATTCATACTCTGGTGTCTCCTCTCTTTGGTTTGCTTTGGACCTGTTTTCCATCTGCAAGCTTTCATCCTAAAATAACAGCCTTGCAGTAAGACTTTCTGTTCCACTATTTCTGACAGCTTTTCTGCCTAATCACTGTTTGCACCCTCCAATTTTCCCTTTAGAGCTCCTGTTCTTTCTCAGTGCTGCTCAGCTACAAAGGTACCCCCTGACTCCTCATAGCTTCTGTTGGGCTTATTTTCTCAGCTCATTTCCAATCTCTTAAATCAACATCAACATTCTGTTAGGCTAACTAAGAGAAAAGCAGGCAGCCAAAAATATTACTAAGTCATTACGTGCCTGGACTCTTGAACTTTTTAGAAAATGTGTTAATTTTAGTAACATCATTTCCCTGTCTAAGTAAAAGGCTTAAAGGTTATTAAATATTCAACAAGTATATCCAATTTAAATGCCCAATAAGACTGGAAGCCAAGAGTTCCATGATTTTACAGATTTTCTGTATTTATATATAATTTTAAACAAACTGAAGCTTTTAAAATACAAAGAAGAAAATACTTTCTAAGCATGTATTTGAACTGTACCAACCTGACATTTTCTCCTATAATTAGAACATTAAATTTTATATGCGCTACGAAGTCAAGGCCCAAATAAGAGACTGGATTTTTCCCAGAATAAATGACAATAAAATTTTGTGTTAATTAATATAAAGCACTGAAAATGGAAACATTTTATTCCATAAATGAATATTTCCAAGAGTATTTTTCTTTAGCTTTTGGAGCCATGAACAGGTAAATCGCTACAACAAAACATCTTAAAGCCTTTGTTTTTCTACAACTGCAAACATTTATGCTAACAGCTGTATTTGTAATTATTAGCATCCTCTGGTATTTATAAAAGGTCTGAACTTGTATTGCCTATAGCTTCCAATGAGAGTATGGATTCTGGTTGAAGGTATTTTAGAATTGTAATGTCCAAATAACTCCGGTTTAGTTTCATCAGTCCACAGCACCTTATTCCAGAATGAAGCTGGCTTATCCAAATGCGCTTCAGCATACCTCACACTGCTCTTTTTGTGCTGGGGGTGGAGAAAAGGCTTCCTCTGCATCACTCTCACATGCAGCATCTCCTTGTGTAAAGTGCCCCGAATAGTTGGACGATGTACAGACTCCATCTACAGCAAGATGATGTTGTAGGTCTTTGGTGCTGATCTGTGGGTTGACTCTGACTGTTCTCACCATTCTTCACTTCTGTTTAGCTGAGATTTTTCTTGGCCTGCCACTTGAACTTGAACTGTGCCTGTGGTCTTCCATTTTCTAAGTATGTTCCTAAATGTGGAAACAGAAGCTGAAATCTCTGAGACAGCTTTCTGTATCCTTCCCCAAAACCATGATGGTACAGAGTTGTTCTGACACCCCCATGTTGCTCCTCTTCAGAGATTATTCAAAAAGGAGGGAAACTTACAATTGGTCCCCTTAAATACTCTCTCATAACTGGATTCACCTGTGTATGGAGGTCAAGGGTCACTGAACTTACCAAACCAGTTAGAATTACTAATTAGTTCTAAAGGTTTTGGAATCAGTAAAATGTCAACAGTGGCCAAATGTATGCACCTATTGCACATTTTCTGTAAATCCTATAAACTTTGTTTTACTTCTCAAATCTCATTGTATGTCTCCTATACGAGATATTTAACTGACATTTTTATCGTAACAAACGATTTATACAGGAAAATCATGAAGATTAACAAGACAGTTCAGACGTTCACATCCCACAGTAGACAAATACACTAACATTTTGCAAACTAGTATAACATTTTTGAATGGTTCAGTTTTAGTGACTTACAGTCATGACTGAAAGTATTCCCCTCATCTATCATTTGTCCATTTCCACCAGAAACATTCCCCTATCCATCACTGTTGCAGCTTTAAAGTCATTAAACCATTGAAATTCTATGAAATTTGAGTAAAAATGACTCAATTTTCCTCAATTTAGCCTCATTTCTGCCTGTTAATGAGAGCACTAACACATTTATTTTTCCATTGAAAAGTCAGTTAAGGCTACTGGAAAAAAAACAAAACAGAGCTTCCTTTGGATAAACCAGACTCTGCTCCAACAGCTCTCGCTGCTTTATGCACCAGTTGTTAACAGTAATGCAGACAATAAGCTGCCCTTTGTGACTCATCTAAATCATTGCTGCTCAACAGTTGCATACAGTTACGCAAATGAGGAGTGAAAGGCAACAGTCGGTTGGAGCCTGCAACAGCAGCAACATCTGGGAGAAATGATGTCTTTGAGCACTGTTGCTCCATTTGTTCCTCTTTACAAAGTGCTGCCTCTGCCATGGTGTGAGGAGATAATATAGGAGCCTGAGAGAGAAAGAGACAGGGAAAAAGCAGTAAGTGTCACGAACAGAACTCAGAAGACCCGTAATGACACCAAACACAATGAGTGTAAAATAAAAAGTCTTTATTAGGATGCAGAGTTACCAGAGTTGGGCGAGGCTGGAGACAGAGTCGGAGAGGAGGCGAGGGTCAAAACCAGATCGGACATGCGGATGCGGGGAACAGGCAAGAGGCGAGGTTGAGGACAGACGAAGGTCGTGGAGGCAGGCAGAGTTCAAGGCAGGGGTCAGGAGAAAAACGAGGTCCGGAGGCAAAGCTCAGGCAGGGTGGATGGCTGGAGAATTTACTGGCACGAAGTCTTCAATAATCTGGCCCTGAATGACTGGATGGCTGGTTCTTTTGTAGCTGGGGAAACAGGTGTGGGTGATGAGCAGAGGAGTCAGAAGCAGGTGAAGTGGATGAAGATGATTGTGGTAGTCAGGGAAACAGGGCTTGGCTGGAGCTTGATGATGAGACCAGGTGTGCTGCATGAAGGCAGAGAAGGGTGAAGGATTGGGAGTCATGACAGTAAGAGTCTGAGGCCTAGTCCACACGTAGCCGGGGTTTTTTGAAAACGAATATCCGCCCCTCCAAAAACTTGCATCCACACCACCGCGTTTTAAAAACAAACTCTGTCCACACGTACCTGGATAAATACGTTGTTAAGGACATGCCAGACCTGTAGGCGGCAGTACTTCCCCCGTTCTCAACCTCGTCCTTCGTCTGAGGTCTTCCGCAAGGAGCAGTAATTCCGCTTGCAAAAACAAACAAGCAAAAAGCGCTTGGACAATTGATGGATCGGGTAGTGACAGAGCGCAGCTCTGAAGGCTTCCATGATGCCGGCTAGTGTAAACACAGGTCGCACACGTGATGTCAGCATTTTTCTGTCGCAGAAAGTGACGTTGCGGACCTTAAAACTCCGGTTTTGTCCGTCCACACGCAGACACCCAAAACGGAGAAAACGCAGATCTTCACTTTGGCCGGAGTTTTTAAAAAGATCCGTTTTCGTGTGGATGACAGGCCAAAACGTAGGAAAATATCTACGTTTTGGCAGATCCCCGGCTACGTGTGGACAGGGCCTGAGTCATGTCCAGGGTGATAAGTGTTGTTTGTCGTGGGCATGAGCATCAGGTAGACTTGTTTTGTGCGCATTTAAAACGAAAAGTCAAATAATCTCAATAATTTAAAATGTTATAATTAATCCAATTATTTAAATAGTTGTTTGTTTTGGATTAAGGTAAAATATTAAATATAAACTAGAGTTGATTTTTTTTTACTTCTCTGTATAGTTAGTATGGCAATAACAAAGCACAAGGTCATTTAAAGTGACAATGTGTACTTCCCCTGGCGAAAGGGGGCAGTACAAACCTAAATCATTGCAAGCAAGCAATATTTTGTGTTCGAGTAAGACCTTACCAACGGATGGCCATTAGGGTCAAAAATCCCTGGGAGCGCAACCTCCAGCAAAATGACAAGCACACCAGACTCCATTCCATCACTGGAATGAGTGAAAAGACAAATGTGTAAAACAACGTTTGTCGATGATGAAAGTTTTGTAACCATTTTTTACAAATCAGTAAATGCATTTTGTCCTAATGGGCTCACGTAGAAGGAAACATAGCATCTAATATGGCGTCGCCCAGAAACTTAGACCTGCTCCCATGTATTTTAGACCCAATAATTATGGTTATGTGTTATGAAGCCGCCAATATTTTTCAACAACTGCGGGCATCATTAAGTTCATTTTCAACATTTTGATGGATGTTTCCAGAGATGAATGGTTAACAACTACACATTGTCTATTTAAGGTTTAACACACTTCATTGTGATTGAAAAAAGAATGGATTTGATGACTAAATTTGGGCGTTTATACCAATAGCAGCATTAGAAATAAATATATGCAAGTTTAGCAAAGATGATGTTTCAGTTAATTTGCATATTCTGCTTATTTCGATGTATCACAAGTAAAATTTGATCTGATTTACCATCTAGTATACTGACTTCATGTAAAATTCATTTTCATGAAAAAATTGCCAAATTTGACACATTTTTCATGAAAGGAAGTTAAGAAAATGTTCCAGGAGTCCAGACAACAAATCAAACAAACAAATGTAACTGTTATAGGTTTGTATGCAGATAATTGTCTGTTTTTGACTCTGACAGTGGCAAGGTGAGAAGCAAGAGTTCTGCCCTAATGCCAAAGTGGTTCTGGTTGGCTGCAAACTGGACATGAGGACGGACCTCAACGTCATGAGAGAGCTTTCCAAGCACAGACTCATTCCTGTCACCCACGAACAGGTGAGGACAAGAGCTGAAAACGCTGATTCAGCGTCATAAGCCTGAATGTCCGTGGGGTTTTTTCCTCCCTGGTGCATCCAAACAAAACTTCTGAAAAGGAATTTGCAGAATGACATTTCCAGCACATCAAAACCTCCACACACACAGACACACGGGGAGTGTGACAGAGGTGCAACTCAACAAAGAAGGAGACGAACAGCAGCGAGACAATTGTTTTGTTTGTCTTGGAACAATGAACTGCAGCATACACACATTTTTAATTGCCTATTTCAATGTAAATGTGAATTCCCACTTCTTGGCAACCTTTTGTCAACGCATTAATATTTTCTTACTAAACAAAAGTAATGACCTTTTGCTGATATTAAACTGGGGCCTCAGGTTCTCATATCAGTTTCTGTCACATATTTGGATTCCAGGACCACAGATGGTGAGCTAAAATATACAAATAATTTTATAAAAACACAACTAATGTGATTTTAAACATCCTTAGATGTTAAAAAAAATGTGTTCACGTAGTCAGCTTTGGAGTGCATTGTGCTGTTAAACAAGTTATAGAGATTTTTTTAATGTCATTTGGCAAAACAATGAAATATTTGCAACAGTCAGAATCTAAAAGAAAGATCCCAGTCAGGTGTTACACCAAATTCTGCGACCCATCACAATTTGTGACCCCAGAGGACAGTGCTGCATTTTGTTGCGCCTGTACATCCTGAATTGGCATAAAAGAAGAAGATGCTACGTTCAAACCGTAAACTAGGTAAGCTTTGAGGAAGTTGTGCGGCGGGGACCATGGTCACACAATATGATAGTGGCTATCACACAATGTGACCACCTGCATCTCAGTAATAATGCAGATGTCAGAGGTCAAATACACTTTTTTATAAACTACATCATCAGAGAAGTTACCAGAAACAATTTGGGTGATGTAAAAATCATTATAACTGAAGTTAAAGTAAGGTCACACAATATGATAGTGGCTATCACAGAATGTGACCATCTGCATCTCAGTAATAATGCAGATGTCTTTAATCTTCACTAAAGATAATAACAGCAAAATGCGCTTCATGATGTTTGTGTCATTTTATTTACATTTTATCTCCACCAGTACATATGAGTGGCATTGGAGTGACAGGGAAAAAAAACGTAGCAACCAGATAATCTGCAGTGGTTTCTAATGAACTGAGGATGTGGATCACAACAATTTATTTCAATAAATGGAAGTTCTGAACATTTTACCTGCGGACCTCGCACGTTGTAAAATCAATGTTTAATGTTAGCAAACATTTCTTATCAAAGCCCTGGTTATCCCTGTATTTATTGTCCCGTTTGTTTGCTATAAACTTTAACAAACGTTCTTTTTAATATCCACGGCCTGCGCCGCACAACTTCCTCAAAGCTTATGTAATTTACGATTTGAACGTAGCATCTTCTTTTATGCCAATTCAGGATGTACAGATGCAACAAAACGCAACACTGCCCCCTGGGGTCACAAATTGTGATGGGTCGCAGAATTTGGTGTAACACCTGTTTCAGATGACTGCAGCGATTTAGAGAGGAAATGTGTCTTGCAAATTTAAAAAAACAACAGGAAATGCAGTGGACTGGCTGATCTTCTCAGACACAAAGTTCATGATGCCTGCTCTTCCTACTTATATAGCACAGTTTCTTCTAATTAACAATTATTTATTTGGTAAAAAGGTGGAATAATCTTTACCTGTCTAGACAGTTGCGGCTTCTCGCTTGAAAGCCTTCTTCGTGAGTTGTCATCTGCACGCATGCCGAGTCTGCGTGGCTTATATCCGGAAGCATGATGAGGAGGGTATTCTTCCCTGGGGTCAGTGGGGTGGCTAATAAATTTCCAGGGATGCAGAACTCCTGATCATTCCGAAATACCTCCATTAATATGAATTAAAAAAAAATTCAGTCTTACTCCGTTAAAGTGGCTGTTAGCTGTTTATCTGCTGTTGCAGTAAATTAATGACATCATCTAAAACTGGCATCTTTAGGAAAATTACCTTCAGCTTAAAATGACTCCAAAACAAGTCAAATCCTACTTGATTAAAAAGGTTATTTAATGGTTTCCACAGAAAGGGTTACTTGTGATGAACCAGACTCGTATATAACTATGAGCCTACTGCACATTTCTCCCCCTCTCTTATAGAACAGCAAACCTATAGGTGAGGCACTGCTCTTGTTTTCAGTTTAACACCTGTACTGTTGTATCAGCTTTCACACAAAATAGGCACCTTCATTTATTAAAGAAAAAAATCACTTTTAAATCTGATCTAATCTATTCTGACTGCACCCAAGTTCTAAAACAGGGTAAGCATTAAGACGTTTGCTTTTTCTTTCTTACTTAAAGTAAAACTGCAGACAGGAAGTAATTTTTCTCTTCTCGTGGTTTTGAAGTTGCCATTTTCTTAATGGGATGTGTCAACATTACCGACTAGCTTATAGCATAAACCATGATTAATGGAAGCACGCACATTCCCCTGCTGAGAGTGTATGTGTTTGCTATTATATTAGAGCAAGATGTTTACTGCTGTAGGTGAACAGAACAACGGAGACCAGAGAAACATGATCATTACGTGTTTTTACCAAAAACTGTAAAAGAAATGGAGAAAAAAGAAATTTACATCTAAATTAATGTATTAGAACTAATGTATTTATCTAATGTTTGACTTAAAATAATTGGAACTGCTGAAAAAGTATTTGCCTCCATACAGATTTCTACCTGTTTTGCTTCCATTTCTAACCCAAATGGTTCAGACCAGCAAACAATTTCAGTATCAGAGAACAATAACTCAGGTAAATAGAAAATGTAGTTTTAATGATGATTTGATTAAATGAAGGGAAAAGAAGTGTATCCAAACTAGGCTGGTCCTGTATGAAAAGATATGGATGCTCTAATTGAAGCATCGCTGACAGCATCAGCACTCAAGTGTTTGGGATAACTGGAAATTGGTCTCAGATCAGTGAGTAGGAACTGTGTTCTGCACTTCTTTGTGGAATATGTTCCAAAACGACCTCTTAACTTTGCAGATTGTGATTTTTACCATGGTTTTATTGTTACTTATTATGTTTTGTTTTATGAATCTTTCATGTATCGCAACTTGGGCTGCCTTGATTGGTTGTAATAGTGATGTGTCCAATGTGTTGACGCTTCGAAGCGTGTGTCGGGTATCTAGGAAGATTTTTTTTTGAGAAGCGTGCATCGAGGCTTGTGTTCAGGGCTTAATGTCAGCCGGATCTTGCCGGAACAAGATCAGGGAACTGTCTTATTTTGAAAGGACCATTCCGGCAATTGTCTGCTAGGTTCCGGCAACTCACGCGACCAACTTGTGCTATATGCAGGGTTCGATTTACGGGTGAGCTAAAGGGAGCTCCTGGAAGCCTTCAACTTACACACCCACCGGGAGCCCAAAAAAGATCCTGATTCTAATTATATTAACTATTTATGTGGAATTTCCGGGGATTATTTTGAGCTAAGAGGCACAGAGTTCTGATCGTTGATGCTCTCCAGACAGCTGCGTCCTTAGCACAGCCACAGTAACATTATTAATGAGTCACCACCTCAAAAACAAATTTAACATGTGATCGTTTATGTCGGCTCATGTCCTTTTATGCTTTCTGTCTTTTATTTGTGCCTGATGCGTTTCGCTGTGGCGGTGTGGAGTGCATCACCTGTTTTGACTTCACCTCACTGGTGCAGCCAGCATACAGCGCGCACTCCGCGCGCGCACACACACACACACACACACACACACGCGCACACACACTCACACACCATATATAACAAGTAGTGTTTCTATGGCTACATTGTGATTTCTTAGTAGATGTTCTATTTAGTCAGAGAAACTTTATTGTATTTATTGTACTGAAGCTACAATTAATTCAACAGGTGAAATATCACCTCAGGTATTTTGTGAGAACATGCAGAATTAGTTTGTAGTTTTAGTCTTTCCTTGAGTTTAATCCGTTGCAGCCCGGTGAACGGCTTGGACGCGAGATAAAAGCAAGGTAAAAACAGTTTGCAAAAACAAAACAAAACTGTAGATTCAAACTCGGTGGGTAGAAAGTCGGGCCCGACCATTACCTTCTCTCAGTCTCCCTGATCCCTTAGCCCACTGCACCAAACACCAGCGCAAAAGCAACTGGCATTTTGTTATATTTCAGGGTTTCCCCTAGCACTTTATAAGCCTGGCGGCTCGCCAGGCTTTGCTTAGCCACCTGCCAGGCTAAGCGTCATGCCCCGCCCCCCTCCCCGACCCTACCGTGGTTGCTGACACGAACGGCGAAACCGACATGAACCAAGTGAGGCTTGCAGTGATTTAGATGTTGTTTTGGGTTATTTTTGTTATTGATTTTTACTCTGAGATATCTTAGCCTACTTCATGTTGTCATTCAGCTTTACAAGTAAAGTAATTATTCAGTTAATTCATAGTTGAACAAGAGGGTAAATGCTTTTTCCACACAGAGCTTTGTTGGTTTGGATGCCTATTGTTCATTAATAGTGTAATGTCCAGTAATGGCCAGTTTTCATGCACAGTTTGACCCCTTCAGTATCTGGTCGACATGGAGACAGGAGTCTGCATGTGTTGCATTTAATCTGCCAGATTCTGCTATTCCATCAGCTGGAGCCCCGGGCTCTCTGCAGCTCGGAACACATGATAACAAAGTGTCAACAAACCGTTCCCTTCTCAAGGCCTTTCTGTGCCAAGCCTGCCTGGTTATCTCCGGACTGGACTGTTATAAGAATGGCTGTTTTCAGCTTATATGAGTTAATCAGCCATATAATAATAATAATAATAATAATAATAATAATAATAATAATGTTTGATTAATCTGTGCTTAAATCAATAAGGTTGATTGATCTGTGCTTGAATTACTGAAATGAAATGAATTATTACATTGAATAGTTTATATATATGGTAATCAGTAATGTTTGATATGACAAGGCAATCGCCTCCCGCACTCAGACACAATAACAAATTAAAGTT